ATTATTTAGTTATTGCCAGTTTATTATCAGAGAATTTTGGTACAAGTGATCATCGGAAAGAGTTAATGATTTGCATCCCCAGATATTAATATTTAAATATTTTTACATTTTATTAAATACTTTTAATATAGTTAAAATTTTTAACTTCTAATTATTTTGGATTTTTTTTTTTTTTACACTTTAAGCAGTTATGCTAGTATTTTATTAAGATTCTTGAAACTATATACATCTATAATTACATAAAATTTCCTAATACTTAAGTCTAGCATCACTCAGCCACCCTATTGGTGCCTAAGTGCAACCTGCTGCACTATCTTGATTAAAGATAAACTGCTCATCTAACTACTTAAAACCATATCAGAAAGGTCTTTTCTCTTCTGTAACAAGCATATCCAAGCTTCTTTTTTTATTGGGTTTATTTTTTCTGCTTTCTTTTTCTTTTTTTCCTTCTTTGTTATCTTATTCTTTTTTGTTTTCTTTTCTAATTTTCTTTTGGTTCAAGCATCTTTTTTTATTTTGCCTGTTATATTGATCTTCTTTTTCCATTCTTATACTTTTTCATATCAAACTCTCTATACTTGGTTGTAGAATATATTCCATACTGTTCTTGTTACTATATCTATACATTTCTGTGTTGCCTGCCTATCTAGAATCTAACTGATCCTTTTTTCAACTTCATTTGTTGTTAGCTCTTTTATCAAAGTTGTTCTGTTTGTAATTTCTTCTGCTTCTGTCTTTCTAAAAAATGCTTCATATAGCATTAGAGGTGGGATTCTAATCTTTTTATTTTCTTTCAAGCTATTCCAAGCTGCTGCCATTGCTATTTTTTAAATTCTTTTCTACAAGCTTTTTTGTTTAATGCAGCTTGCTAAGTGTACTTAGATTTTCTTTTCACCTTTTTGACATACTAGACAGTCAGTCATTATGTATATTTCAGGCTTTCTTCTATTTAGTTTTTCTAGTATTGGTAGGCTATTCATTATATATTTGATCACTGTTGCTCTCCTTGTACTGAGTTTTTTTGTTGTACAATGTACATCCTTTGTTCTATTTATCTCTTTTCAAAAGCTTAACCAATTATATTAAGTGTTCTTAGTTTCTGGCTCTAGTGCTCAAATTGGATTTGTTTCTTTCCAACTAGTTTTAATTCTAGCATTCATGACTATTTTATATAAAAGTCTTGCTGGTATATTAACTTTTTTATTTTCCCATTCTAAACAATACTCTATTGTGTTACACTTGATCTTCTCTGTAACTATTGTTCTTCTACATGTTGCTTCTTTTTTTGCAAGTAAATCTGCTTAGTCATTCCATTTATCATTATTATGATTTTTAACCTTAACTAGTTCTATTTTATTGTTTTTGCTTTTGAATAAACCAACAATATTCATTATCCATATCACATATTTCTTCTTTAAAACTTTGTCATCTTCTATCTTTTGAATTGCTCTGTTAATATGCCTTAATGCTATGAGGCTATCTGTATGCACTTCTATATGTTTTTCTTCTGATATAATTAGGATTGTTAATCATATTGCTGCTAATTCTGCCATTGTTGCTGAGGGCCAACCTTCAAGTTCTAATGCTATTTCTTCTTCTGATCAGTTTTCTCTGTTACTAACCTGCACCCAATTAATGCTCATCTTTCCTATACTATTTCTCTTTTTCTCTTATATAATGCACTATCTGTATAAAAGTATATTTGTCTTTGTTTCTTCTCTTATTTTTTGTTAGAGCTTCTATTAAGTAATTTGTAACTTTACTATCAAATTTTTGTTTCTTAATTAATTCTATTTCTAGTTTTTCTACTTGTTTAAGTTTGATTAGACCTCTCTTTTTTTTCATTTTTCTGTTGTTCTGTTTTCTAGCATTTGCTCTAATGTTGCATTAATCTTATTACTGTTTTTCTCTACTAATGTTTATAAAACTGTCTTTATATTATTATTCCATTTTATCTACTTTTCATAATTATCTATGCTTTGTTCTGCCCTATTCTTACAACCTTTATATTTACTTATCTTAGTATATGTTTTGCCTTCTACTTTTTGTAACAGCCAATGCTTAGCAAGAATCTTTTTCTTTTTCTTCTTAGATATCTTACTAAGTTGCAAATTATGCTTTGATCATGTATAATTTACTTTCATTTTCTTCTATCTTCTGATATTTTTGTTAATTAATCATTAGTTTTTGTGTGTTGTAGCTACTAATCTTGTATTGGTTATATACTTCTTTACTTGTTCATGTTTTTAATGTCTTTTCTTCTATTTCACTAAACTATTTGGCTTTTTTTCCTTTGTATGACAACTCTAGAAGATTTTTGAGTTGTCTTCATATAATTAGGTTCTTCTCTTTCATGTTCACAAGCTGGTTCAAATATACTAGACCCTTTTTGTTTATTGTGCTACTACTTGCTGTCCATGATCCAATCTTAACTAATTTTCTTATACCTATTCCATATCCATGTACTCTTCATAGGCAATTTTCCACTCTGATGCTTATTTCTATCTTTTTTGCTTTTACTATTGTCTGATAAATTAAGTTGTATTTCCAATATTTTATTTTCTTTGGTCTTCTTTTGGAGTTTCAAATATCTTTTATTAAGCCTGCTTTCTGATACTCCTAAGCTATTCTAAGCTTTGTTAGATTACCTAAGATGTCTTTCCTATTAAGTCTCATGAATAAACTGCTTATTTGTTTTGTTGTTATTTTTTGACTTAGTGATTTACAGTTTCTTAGATCTTTGTACTCAATTATACAGTTGTTTGTTGTTTTTATTATATTACATTTGTGTTTTGCTAAACATATTATTAGTTGATAAATCTTGTCTATCATCTTTTTTGACATTTTTATTAATTGTAGAAAGTATCCTAATTTTGGAATTATTACTATATTGTTTATATATGCAATCTAGCTCATTGTTATTTTTTTGTATCTGAGATTTTTAACTGTTTGACTAACTATTCTTTTTGCTTTTTTGTAAACTAGCAACTCTCTCATTCTGCTATTTAGCCAAATTTTTAATGATCTTACAATTTTGTTTTTTGGTTCTTCTATTATTCTACTATGTTTAAATATAATTTCTCTATCTTCTTTCCTCAGAGTAGAATTCATCACTATAAGCTTTGACTTTGCTTCATTTATTTCAATATCATTTGTTTTGAAAAACTCTTTTGCAATTTCAAGAGTTCTTAGTAATTGATCTTTGCTCTTTGAAATCCATGTAGTAGGTTAATGCATAGCATTGTGTGTCTGAAGTACATGATCATCATATTGCTGTTGTTTGTTACACTAAAGTACAAATATAAACACGCGTGCGGACAGAAAAGAATTTTCAAAATTACGTTTTTGATGCATTAATAATTAATTAATCAAAAACGTAACTATTGATGCATCAAAAACGCAACTTTTGTATCACCATGCGTAATCATTAAATGTCCTTCGCTACGCTCCGGACAATTATATTAACAAAATTGTAAGTAATTTTAATTTATATTTTTCTTCAAAAATGTTCAAAAATATCAAGCTCATGTCCAAAGTAGGGTTGTCAATGGAGTAGCTTGCTCCGGAGCACTCCAGAGTAGAACCCAACCCAAGTTGGAGTGGGTTTAAACTTTTATCTTTAAATTTGGAACAACCTGAAGCAACCCGGAGTAAAATGCTGGAATAAGTCTAATTTACTGGAGTGGGTTAAGAATTGGATCAACCCATTAACAACCCTAGTCCAAAGCTGTCCATTGACAACACTGATCGTATGTTCGAACAATCAGGTCATGAGATCTGGTGTAACCAAAACATAATAGTGAAACTAAGAAAAAGACTGAAAATCGTCGATAACAATGTATTTTACTATGATAACAAATCTCTGGGCATTAAGTAAAAGTCGTCAGCACAAAATTTTAAATATAAGCCCATTTTTATAAACCAAACTAATCTCATTTCTTTAAAAAAATATGCGATAGAGTAGTGACCTTTAGCAAAATTCTTTTTTATAATATATATAAGTCGAAATGTTTAATAAAAACAATGCTAAATCGTAAACTAGGCAGGGCTAAATTTTGGATATTTCAAATATTTTTAAACTAGATAAAAACTAAGTTCTATACTTCATATACACTTGAAGTAACAGTTAGTACTATTAATTGAAATAAGGATTATAAGGAAAACGAAGGTCATTATGATCGAAAAGCTAAGTCTTAAAATGCTTAGCCTTATACAAACGCCCATTTAACAAACAGATAAAGCACTCGATCTTGAATAATTCGATCTTTGAATGAAAACTTTGTTATTATTTGTTCCTTAAGATTGTGTGAGAAATTGATACAAAGAAATTGGGTTGTTAAAATATTGTGACCCAAAATTACGATAAATCAGAATAGGATATGTTAAAAGACCATGTTATTGTATTCATAAAATAATTGATGTAGATAAAATAAGAAACCTAAAATAAAAAGGCGGATCTACTTACTATTATATAATCAAATAGCTTTAGTACAAATTTGTAAAATAAACCGAACAAACAACTTGAAAAAAAGAAAACCTACATAATTTAACCCTCTTAAATAATCACCTAAATCCCCAACAGCTTTATTGGCTGCACCAGCTGCGGTACCTTCGGTATAAGTCCCAATAATAACAGCTTGTATTGTTTTCTCTGCAATAATACCATCGGCACCCTATTAAAATAACAGGTTTTTGTTGTTGATTATTATACAAAGCAATCAGAATTGACTAAAAACTCTGACTTGACCTGTTTGCAATGAATGCTTATATAATTTTTACGATCATCTGTTTCTTGGCCAGAAACGAAATAGTATTTTTTTTCATTGCAACGTATTCCATTTCCCTGAACTTTTTCAGTATTATCAAAGGACTCGATAATATTTTTGACTTCTTCGGCATTTGGCTGGTATATTAAATAAAAAATTACAATACATATTATACTTAATAGACTATTTAGTATGATGGTTCTTGATTTATCACCATTTGACAAAGAAGTAACTTTTTTCGCGATAACTAAATATCAACCACTTACATTGAAGCCTCCAGAAGTTGCCCACAAAGTACCATCAAGACCAAAAATGGCAGCTTGATGAATGTTGCCGGTTCCCAGGAGATTAGTGTCAACAAATGTTTGCCACGACATTCTTTGTTTTCAAAAAGAGTAAAGCGAGTTAAGATTAGGCAGTGTAAATGGACTAGAAAGAAATTAAAATTTCCCAATGTCACATACGTACGTACGTACGTACGTATATCAGATATGGTAATGCAGTAGTGATTGAGCGTTAGATTTGATCACAGATCACAGAGCCGTATAGCATTAAGTACAATCTGACTTTTAATGCGTAATTTTGCTAGAATTTACCAATTTAGGCACACTAACTAAAATTAACCCCTGAAATTAGATCATCCTTGCCTGCGTTAGTTAGTAATTTTAGGCGCCCATTCCAAAATTCCACCCGCACGTGATCCGAAACCAATCACATTTCAAGACCAGGTGTAACGTTACATGATTAGGGGTAGGGTGTAATATTTTAAAATTATATATAAACTTAATGGTATATTTTTTTTATAATTTCAATTATGAAAATTTT